AGATACTATTTTAATTACCTTTTTTTGTTTGTATTATTTTACCTCCGTGGCTCACAGCACTCAGAATTTGGTTGCATTTCCAAATGCTATCGATACTGGAAAGCCAGGGCTTTTTATGTCCATTTAAACCTTGCCTTCTGAATGAACTGTGATACATGTAGTTTCTTGCATTTATCTAAAGACATTGCAGAAGAAGATCTTTTTTTCAGCACAACTGTTACTGGATTTATCTAACAAATCTAAAGCACATGCTGCTGAAAATAATGATAGTGGTCAGCTGAGACCTACCAGAGTTATCAGTATTTTCCATTATTTAATTAAAATGGAATTAATCAGCTTTTTCTTTTAATGCAATTAAAGAATGTATAGTTTCTAATGTAGCAAACCCCCAGCCAGGAAAAAACATAAAATTGTTGAAGTGCACTGAAACATACATTCCTGTCCTATAAAATGGCAGAGAAGGGAGGTTGTAGTCTACATGTAGGAGCAGGCTGATTGTGTGAAGGTCTGCTACAGAATGGGAAACAGGCCTGTCAGCAGGGAGGTCCATTAAGGGTATGCTGAGGTGGGCGCTGCTACCAAGTTTTACTGAACCTCCTTTTTGAAAACATGCCAGACCGGGTGGGAACATGACGGTCAATGGCAGCCTTTTCTACCTCTTACAGTTTGCAGTGGCAGCGCCTCAGCTGTCATTGTGCCCTTCTGAAAGGATTCAAACAGCCATGTCAGTCTGAACAGAAGGCACTGTAAGCAAAATGTTCATGCTTCTGGGGTTTTAACACTGTAATAAAAGTAAATAAAAATAAATAAAATCCTTGCTCTACTTTCATGGAAAGTAAGATGATGAAACTGTGAATATAATCCTCTAAGTATCATCAGTCTGGAGATATAAAAGAGAAAGAAATAGTAGTTTCATTCATCCTATATTAAGATATTAAACTACATTTAAATACTGCTTTTTCCCTGACCAGCTTCTTGAGCGTAGTTGCCCCATGTTAACAGTATCCTGAAAAATTTTACAGGTGGTCAGAGAGATCATCTTTGATAGAATTGCTACTGTTGATGATTTATAGTAACCATAATATATTTCTTATGAGCTACACTTGGTGTTTCCTGCTTCTTCTTGTGTTACTACTCGCACTGAAATGTAAAGAAATTGAAAACTTACTTTTCATTTATTACAGTGCATAAGTAAAATACTTGATAACAAATCGCAGCTTTATAATGAGTGTAATTTGGTCTCCCCAATTAAAGTTCCGATGACTTTACATTTTTCTGCTCTTAAGAAAGTCCTTAGTCCCATGGAGAATCATCAGAATGGGAATCTCACTGTGAGATTCATGTTTTATGGCTTTATTTTACTTTGGGGCAAGACATTGAAACCCTCCTCGAGGACAAACTTTTTAAACTGTCATTTTGCTCTTCTATTCCCCTATTCAGTCTTCAGGAAACTTTCAGAAAACCTGTACAAAGAGGATAAGACTACAAAGTAATTTTTAATTCCTATTCATTGGAGATGGAACTTGAATGTAATTCCAGTTGCACATAGGCACTAACTTTAAGGAATCTTATAGCCAAACCTTGAATTCATGGCTAGGCAGGACTGTAACGTGACCTAAACAGCACTTGTCATGTCTAGGAGTAGAATTTGCTGGTAGAGAAGAACTACTAGATTTCCTTCTAGAACGCTGTAGCTAACATTTGTCACAAATGACATTATAGATAACTATATAGAGAGAGAAATATATAAAAACACATGCAGACACACATATCTTTCCGTGACCATAGGGAATTTGTTAGGATCCCATTTTTGTGCTTTTACAGGATTTAGTTACAACTAGACAAGGAAACTTACAGAAACATGCCAAGGCATAGCTGCTTTGTATTCTTCAAAATGGATAATATGTTAGCAATATAATACAGAGAATCTCTGCCACATGAACCAAGAATTCAGAACACAAACCATCAGGCCCCCAGGAGAGGTCTGTTTTATCTGAACTTGGAAGAAATGGACCTATGAAAACAAACCAATTTACTTTCAATCCAAATGATCAGCTGAAGGGATTCTTCAGGAAAAGACCAGAAACAGATGCTGATGCCTTTTCTCAATGATTGCAAGCCAGTCAGTTCAGTTCCCAGTTTTCTCCCTTTATGATAAAATCTCAAGTTCTCATCCAGGTCAGGCAAAGGAAAGGCTTGAAGTAATTCGACACCCACGGGGCATTGGATTTTGTCCTTCCTGAAGATACAGAAGGAGTTACCAGTCATCCTCATTACGTGGCGTGAATTTACAGTGTTTCCAGTAAATACTCTTATTAGAAGATGTTTTATTCCTCTGTAAGAAGAGCTTGTCTCCACAGAGATTTGAGAATTCCATTCCATGGAGGGTAACTCACAGTCTCTGGAACAAAGGTGGCTTATAGATCAGCTTAATCTGTGTGGCATGTAATATATTACTTGGGTTTACAATGGGAGACTTTAAATTCTAGACTGCAAACCTCATAGTCTGTGTTAGTGTGTTAATGCACTGGCTTTTCACCTTTTAAAAAATCGGTTAAAACTTACTTCACTGAAAAGCGAAAATGAGTTTAGCAGCCTGGAATGACTCTGTTTTCTCTATTCCACCATGTAGCATAGTCAGCACAACTGGCAAGACACTACTGAAGAAAAAATCAGAGACTGGAGCAACTTCATCCTTTCAAAAGAAATGCCAAGACCCACTCAGTATTTAAAAGTAAACAACAAAGGACAAGGAAGGGATACATGGTGCAATTTCAACTGTATGAAGAGTTGATGTTTTACTAGTGTCCCACTGCAGTCAGATCTCTGTCTGGATCCCCAATTCTACAAGTCTATAGTCCTTGTTATGGAATGCAGATTCCAAATAACAAAATGGCCATGGAATGACCATTTCATCATTCAGAAATTCAGCACAATTCTGGTTCTTGATGTTTCAGGTAGGAAGGGACTTTATATTTTTAAAGTCTGTAGGGTAAAAAGACATTTTTTAAATCATTCATTTTTTTTAATAATAGAGCTTCAGTGTAATGTGCTTCCAGTGGGTGTTTTTAAAGCAGTAGTATCCAAAATAATTTTTAAGAAAGAAGCTTTTATCCCTAAGAGATACCAGAAGGCCATTAAATTCATTGGAAATGCTGGCGTTTTCTTCAGTGGTGTGAGATTCTACCCCACATATCCAAAAGAGTGAGATTGCTGTTTTACTCAATGTCTTGAAAACATACAGAAAACCTAGATAACTTCTAGGGACAGATTTACTGTGGGGAAGAGTACAGGGGCTTTGCCATTGCTAGGTGCAGTGTAAGATCCTATATTGCATGATAAGCTCTTGGCAAGATGTTTCTACAGCTCTACCAGTCAGAAATTGCACAGCAGATTGCAAATGATTACAATTGTTTATGTGTACATTTATGTGTCTGTGTTTAGACATCCTCAGTACCCATAAGTAGGGACCAGATTCTCATGTAGGGTATGTTTCCTTTGCTTTAGTTGGACAGTCTGTACCAATTGAAGACTTGGCTCCCAAATATTCCTATTGATTCACATATATTTCTTGTGTTTCTAATTCTACAGAGAATAACAGTGAAACAATACAAAAATATTTATGTTAAAATAGTCAGATTGGAATATTGACAGAGAAAGAGATGTATATTTTTACTACTGTATGAAAATCTACCAATATCTAGAATTTCTGGTATAAAATGTATGTACCATGAAATACATAGAAAGAAGAATACATTTTCGTGTACTAAATATTCCGAAAAAGCAGGAAGGTATTATTGCAAACTCCTGCTCTGAAGCAGAAATAGTTTGGGCAATTTTCTAAGATCATAGAAGACTGTTAGGGTATCCAGCAACAAAACCACCCCAGACCCAGTCCAGCATTCAAAGGACTCTGTCACCTCTTATGAGCAATTTATGGTAGTGAACCGCCTGTATTACATTAACAGGATACTGATCTTTATTGCATCAAAGATGTGCAAAAGTTACTGTAGTATAGGAAGAAATATTTTAACTCACTCTACTTTTGAGTTTGTGGGTGGGCCATTGGGGATCTACAATGATTTTCAGGTTTTGGGCACATTTCTACAGTAGACATATCCGGTTTTCCTTCTTTATTTTGGTCAAACAACAGTACATTATCTGTGGCAATTGTAACCACTATAGAATAGTCTTGAAGTGGCAAATTAGGAGAAATGTTTTCTGCAAAGTTTTTCAGGGATAAAAAATTTTGGCCAAGTGTTTTTTTTAGGGTCTTCAAATAACTTTTTAGTATTAGTATCCATGAGTTTTCTGTGTTCTCTTTTTACTAGAAACATGCTTACTATCTTGATAGATTTGGAAGTAAAATAAATAGTCTTTCAGCACCTTTGGTTTTAACTTCTTCTGTGGCCAGGGTTCTAAGTTCAATGGCTTTATTGTCACTCCCTAAGTCTTAATTGCTGCAGATTTTGTCTGAAAAAAAATGCCTCATCTAGTATATCATTGTATTTCGAGGAGTTCTGGGATGCTGTATTCATAGCAACTTAGATGGATATGAATGTGTAAGTACAATATTGTTATATAAATGAAGGAGGAAGGCAACAATGGAAATCTAGAAACATCAGTTTCCTATGTAAATGAACAGAAGTTTCTTAAGACTTTAGTTCTTGGAAGAATGCTCTGGAGAAAGCAAAGCATCTCTGTACAGTTGGGTTCCTCTGGAGTAAGTAGTAAATGATAGACAGACAGCTTGTAACTCCACCCCCTGAGCCCAAGAGTTATACCGAGAGCTCTGGCAGAACTGTTTTGTCCCGTAGGCTAAAATAGTCTAGGCAGTGAATGAAAAAACTCAACACTGAAAGAGGAAAATGAGGTCTTCACCAGGTCCCACCCTCAGAACATCACCAGAGGAGTTTTGCCAAATGGCACAAAATGCAGTGACTCATGTTTTGTTTTGTTTTGTTTTGTTTTTTTCTTTCTGTTCCTGTGTCCTCCCCCAGATATTCCTGGATTGTTTCTCCTTTGCTATCCTCTCTCTTCAAATCACTGGGTCTTCTCAGAAGGAGCTGGAAGAACGGCCAGAATGTAATATTAGCAGGGGAGCCTGTCACATGAAATGTCCTCAGCAGGGAGCCGATGTGCTTATTTAGGAAGGGTTAGAGATGTGAAGGAGTATGGGAGAGCACCAGCACAGGACTGGGACAAACACGGCTTCTCTAGCTTCGCTACCAAGAAAATCTCCTCTGGTTTGCCAAGAGTTTTGTTCCTGAAAACAATACGAGCTATCTCTCCTAGATATTTAGTATAGAAATTAAAACACATATAACGAGTTTCCAAAGAAAGTTATCCTTCGTGCTTATGAGCACTGTTGCTTACTGAAGATCTAAACTGAGTTAGCAGTCAGGTGGCTGATAAATTTGTCATCAGCTTTTATTTCCTGTGCTAATAGAAATTTTATTTTCTTTTAATGAAAAAGTTAAGGTACATATCCTAGGAGCCAACTATAACATTTATCTGAAGCTGTATTGCTCTGCTACTGTGCTTTTTGTTGGCTTGGTTTTCACAAACATGGATCTTGCTCAGTGTATGGTTTTGGCATAGTTTGCAATTTTGTACCTTAGAAATAGGTTTCTTGTCTAGGCAGTAATTATTGATTAATGCTTTCAAGTTTGGATGTTGATATAATATAGTAAACCTAATCACTTCAGACCTGACACTGACCATCTTCAGAACTGTGTACGTCAGGCTTTGCAGATGCTTATTTTCTTGTTGCATTACATCCTTCAGACCAGGATGTCCTATCAGATATTTAGAGTTGAACAATATGAACAATTATCTCATGAAAATACACCAACTGAGGAATATAAATACATGCACACGTTAATGAAAAATATGGGATGTATGTTCAAACAAGGACATCTTTGCTAGCATTACTTCTCTTTTGGAAATCCCAAGGGATGTTTAGTGCCAGCACAGGAAGGTGGGGTTCTGGATGGCTTTGAAAGCAATCATATATCTAACTGTAAATTAATTGTCATGTTCTGAAACTTATTCTGCAGTACAATAGTAAATAGAAGTGATCAAAAATTTGAATTTTTCAATTTTATAAATAGAAGATGAATTATTTGCAAAAAAGTCACCTTTCCATTCTTCATTCAGGAAAAAAAAAGAAGTAAAGTTAAAAGTTGATCAATCAACATCTTTTTGATAAATATATTTCCTATTTCTTCTTTCGCAATTAGTGATCATGATCAGTTCTTGCAATCTTGGGGCTCATCTTGTTTTAATTAGGATTAAAATTGAAAACTATTTCATATAAGAATTCTGGCTTCCTTTTTGATTAATTAATACCACACAGTTTCAGAATATGTGAATAATACAGTTTGCAAAGATACTGGGTTTATGTTTTCTCACAGACGGTGTAATAGTGAGCCAGAAAATGAAATATTACATGTCATGACACTTGATGGGATATATAATTTTCTTACAGAGCTGAGCTTAAATTCAGTTTGGCAGACCCATTGCTCACACTGCCATAAAATAATCTATTTTTTATGCTATCTTTGTGTGAACTGAAAAAAAATATTAAGTTTGAATCTGTGTGTGCACTACCTCCCCATTAATTTGCTGTCTCTAAAATAGTGACCTGTCTTTCACTCTTTTCTAGAAGGCTAAACTTTCATCTCTGTGTGAGATGCTTTTCGCAAAAGAGATTTCGGTTCTTTTACAATAGTATTGCTTATAGAAGCCTCAAAAGTCTCCCTACTGAAAGGCTACAGAAAGGCCTTGAAAGATGCCTGCTCTGTGTCAACTGTTTTTCCAACGGCTTCTCAAATGAGGAGCTGGCATTTACGTCCTGATAGGAAGGAACGAGAGGGAGAGAGAAAACTTAAAACACTGATGATAACTCCTAGCAAGCAATTTTAATGCTGTCTATCAGAGGGATGTCCAAGCCGTTGGTGTAGAGCTGCCTGCAGTTATCAAGCAGTTCAAGCACAGCTTCCATGCCAGCCCGTGTCAACTAATCAGCAACAACTGGGTGACCGTGGGCTGCTGGTTGCTGACCTCCCCGGTGACGGGAGGGAGGGAAGCAGCGGGGCCAGCACTGCTGGGTTGTCCCGGGGCTGTGCTGCCTGGCCAGCTGGGGCCCGGCCGTCGACGGGGCGATCTCTGGGAAGCCGTTGGCATCTCCTGGCTGTGAACCTCTCTGTGAGCTCCCTCTCAACTCTTCAAGGTATGTGCCTTTCAGCTCTTGAAATGTGAAAATGTGGGTGATAGGTTGAGGACATTACCTGTAAATTTTAAAGGAAGTTTTCCTGTGACGTCAGAAGCATTCCTCCTCAGCCCTGGCTCCCTGGCTGCCATCTGTAGCTCTCATTTTTGTATCTTAGCAATAGATGGGGTTTGACTTGCCTGTTAACATCCTTGCTCATTGTTGTCTTCCTTCCTTTCTACTCTGTTTTATCCCCACATTTTCTATACTTTTGTTTGAGGGAAGGTGAAGGATAGGGAATGATGAATTCCTTTATTTTTCTACATGAGAAAGGAAGTTTCTAGTGTACTATTTTTTTTAACTTTTTTCTCTCTCTTTTTGCTGAATTTCTTTCTTTGTCATGCAACTCCACATCCTCTCTTCCCACATTTTTTCTTGAGTGCCCACCTGCTCCTTCTTGGGTGCATTGGAGAGAGCATAGGGCTGTTCATGCTGCTGCTTGGGTTTTACTTTCTGTGCAATTGCTGGTCTTTTCAGTAAAAAAAATCCATCAGGGCAGAGAGTATCTTTTCTATCCCTGACTTGAGTAGTTTCTATTCTGTTGTAAGTTGTGAGAGAAAACTCCAGAAAACTGCTTGCACCTATCCAAAATTAGGATGGATGAAGGATCTGGAAAGTGGCAGATGGAGCAGAACAAAGAGTAGAAAAGATGAGTAACTTGGCCACAGTCACACAGCAAAGTGCTGACAGAGAAAGGAATAGAAACTGGTTCTCAAGTCTGTATTCAAAACAGTAAACCATGCAATTTTTTCACAGCATTATCTAGAAATTGCAAAGACAGAATGACATGTTGTTGTAAAACTGATAATAGAAAACTACCATCAGGGAAGCACTATTTATAAATGAGAGGCTGGGAAGGCACACTCTATGCTGAATGCCATATACTATGAGTGCCAAGGGAGTAAGGGAAATATTTTGATGTTTGTGTGCTGTGGAAAGTTTTAGTTAAACACAAACATTGTTAATAAACATGGATTTATATGTTTTCTTTGATCAATGAACTCTGATAGATTTTAAATGTTCTGAGTATCTCATTTCTGTGTGTCCAAAAGGAGAGGAAGACAGACTCAGGATCACATTCTTAAATCTGTTGCAGTCCCATTTTTGTACAAGTTTATGCTAGTATCACAAATAGAGCGATTTTTCCAATACAATATGGGACTGCATTTTCAAACAAAGGGAGCCTAAGTTGCACCAATTAAAAATGTGTCTAAGGACATTATCTTACATTTTATTTTTATAAAATACATAAATATACAGGTTCAGAATGAATGCTTGCTTTTATAACCTGATTCAAAGCCTACTGAAAAACAAGGGAGGGCAAAAATTTTCTGCAAATGAATTGAGTTTTGGATGAGGTCCCAGAATAGGTGCTATATATAAAAAAAAAAAAAAAATCCACCTGAAAGCTGTGTTTGATATGTGCTAAAATCAAAATGAATAACTAACAAATATTGTCTTTTTCCTGCACTAAGTCCTTCTATTGCTCTATCCACAGAAGCAAAAGAATGGGTATGTTTTATTTTAATTAGTCCCTTAACTTTCTTTTGTATATATTTTTGATGACCCCAGACCAGTGGATATTATATCCCAGGGATGTTGTTACTGTTTATTCTCCAACTCTCACTCACAGACTTTTATTCTTCTACTTAGTATGCTGCAAACTGCCTGCTCATCTGTGTCCTTCCCTGCCTGGATTACTCTGTGCTGTTTACATAGCAAAACAAACTATATAACATCCCAGGGGCCCAATGCTGCTGCCACAGAATACCGGTGAGTCTAATTGACAACAGGATGTGCCTGTGCTTTATGACAGGAGAACCAAGCCCTAATCACAGCCAGCCAAGCTGGAGCAATAAAACTCAGACTTCATATTCTCACTCCTTGGTCCTTGAGAGGCAGGAATCCCTGGTTAGCAATATCTCAGATTACCTTTAGCATTATTTCTAATATATAATAATGAAAATTAGTATCAACATTTATACCAGTTCATTTAAGCCATTAATCCCATTGAAACTACTTTTAACAAGTTTAAGGTTTAAGACAGTTATTTGTTAATTTCTAAGGCTTAATGTGAGGGTGTCACCTTATTTGAGAATATGCCATGCTGTGAGGGATTCAAAAGTGCCTTGACTGAAATCCTTGCTTAAGTCTAGTGTTTAAAGCAATTTACAGCTGGATCATTTTCTATTGTTTTGCCATTCCTCCTCTTCTCTGTGGAAGGCGGGGGAGTCTTGTTTGTCACTCCATTATTAATGAGGGAAACAGAAGATAATGCAACACTAACTGAACAGGCAAAAAAAACCAATTTAGTTCTTTCCTTGGAGTTCCACTGGAAGAAAAATGATTATTTTCTTAGGAATAGCAATCCTTAGGAGCAGATTCTGAAAAGAACTTCTAGATTAAGCCTGTGGCTACTACTTAGCCACAAAAAGGAGGTGGTGGTGAACAGCAGTAGTGGGACAACTGGCTTTCTGGCTTTGGTCACTTCTGCAGAGGAAGAAGCATTTTATTCCCACATGAAGAGGAAGGAATAAGGACAAGAGTGGGAGCATAAACATGCAGTAGATATCAGACTACAGGAACCATCCAGGAAAATCTACATCAGTTGTTTGGAGGAAATCCACACAGTCCCTTGTGGACCTTTAGAAGAAGGCAGAGTCTCAGCCTGTCAGATAATCCTGTCTGACTGCACCATTGCTGTTTCATTCCCTCCAGTCCTTCCTTTTCTAAATTTCTGTTCCCTCCCATCCATAAATTTACTCCTCTGCCCACGAAGGCTACAAAGGTGGGAGAAGGGAGATCTGTCTCCAAGAGGGAGGTCAATAATAAATCGAAAAAGTGACCAACCAAACCCTTTTCTAGCCTGATCATACCAATTCAGGCAGTTCAGCATGCTGTACAGCACGTAGAGAGAGAATAGTGCAGCATGGAAATATCACTGACTCAACTGTGACAGATTGCTCTAACATGCACTCTGACCTTTTACATGGAAGAAATCTCCCTTCAGCATTCACAGCTTGCTTCTTTGAAGTGAAACAGTGAATCCCATGAAAACTGACTGTTTTCTCCAACTAAATTGCTGTTCACATGTAGGTGATGCAACAGAACAATTTCTTGTAATAAC